GTCTCCCTACCCCCACAGCTCCCCGCCACTGCCCCTGTGGTGTTAGCTCTCTGGTGGGAGCGCAGCAGCCACGCCCAGCCAGCACCTCGCCCGCCGGGGAGGGTCAGTGGCAGCCACGACTGCAGGCCCAGCCCTGTTTTCCAAGAGCCGGATGGGGGGGTGTCTGTGGGGTCTGCCCATTCCCGCCTGCCAAGGGACAGGTCAGTTTGGGAGAGCAGAGATGAGACAGGACCCCGGAGAGGGCGGGAGTGCAGGTGAACCCAAGGCCAAGGAGCCGATGAATGACGGACTGTGTGGTTTGCTGGCAGGCCCAAAACCCTACTTCAGGGCAAGCCAAAGTGAAACGGAAAGTTCTGGAACAACGTGGGGCTGCGACACAGGCCACACGGACTTTGTTTTGTCTGCATGAAAAGTTTCATTTCGGGCATTTTTAAAAGGAAATGAAGGAGCAGGCTCACAGACTAGCTCCAGGGGGAGCTGCTTCCTTGGGAACCGTAGCCCAGAGGTTAGAGCCTTGTGGAATGGGAAACCCACATCCAAGACTGCCTCTGCGACTTGCACACAAGTCTCCAGTCTCTCTGGACCTGGGGCTGTTGACATTAGAAAAAGAGACTCGGGGGTTGCCCTTGTGGGTTAGACCCACTTCATCAGACAAGCTTCCCCTTCAACTCCTCTGATGAAGAGGCGTTACCCACGGAAGCGTGTGCGCCGATCTATTTTGGCTAGGCGCTGAAGTGCCACAGGCCCCTGCGCTGTGCTAGGGAAGAGCATGCCCTAACCAGCAGGCTAGAGAAATTCGTGCCCGTGCTCTCGGGCCCAGTGCCTATTTGACTCTTGTATATGCCGTGGAACATCTTCAGTAGGGAGAGAAACTCTTAATCAAACCCTTTCCCTCTGCTCCAAGGGCAGAGAGCTCCCCGGGCCCTCCCTGAAGAGGGTGCAGGAAAACCCAGCTTGGAGAACACAGCCCCAGAGCCCATCTCCGGCGGGAGCAGGGAGGGGATGCAGCTGACATGCTCACAATACCAAACCCGCGGGGCTGGGTTCTTCCCTTATGGATGGCAGGGCTTACAGGACAGCAGCCTCCTTTGTTCCTTCCCAGCTGTTTGGCTCATTCTGGCCACAGCCCTCGGGGCCGCCTGCTTCACCACAGAACACGCTCGGTGATGCCAGCCCAGTGGGGCGTGTGACGCTCAGGCGGGGCAACGGAATCCGTCTCCGTGCGAAGGTTTCGGGGCCTGGCCGTGTTCCACCAAAGTCAAGGGGCACTTTGCCGTTGGGAGCACAGTCACGCTCTCCGGTGACTCAGGGCGGAGGGGAACTGCTTGCACAGTGCTCTGTTCCGAGCACTTCCCGTGAATTCACGCGCTAAAGACTGTGGTGACATGGCCTTTATTTCTTCACAGGGACTTCAGTGGGAATGCTATTTCTTCCATTGAAAAAAGGGTCTGGAAAGGATACCCTTGGGCTGAATATTTGTGAGTATTTTCTAGTGTTTTAAATACTGAGGGCTAACAGGTATTTAGTGTGCACGCACACGCACATGCAAACACACACGTGCGCGCACGCACACACACACGCACACACACCCCTCTCTTTTACTTCAGTTCCAGTTGGGGGTGAGAAAGATACGGCTGAGACTCAATTCTGTGATCTAACATTTATCTTTCACACAGTGAAATCTGAAAGCCGCTCTGATGCCAGTGTTAGCAAAGACAGACGTGCCTGGTGCATTAAGGAGTTGGTATCCAAAGCTGAAATTGGCTCAGTTTATTTCTTAGTAGTAGTTTTTCCATAACTTACACAAGTGACTGGCCACTGGGAATAAGCCAGGGGCTTGTTATATCTGTGTGTGTGTGTGTGTGTGTGTAAATCTTAATACAGATGCATTTAAGAAAAGTTCTTTCGCATACACTATTGTAGCACAGTTAGATTTGCTCTCTTAGGCTATGTCTACACTGCAGGGTTTTTTCAGAAAAGGATACGCAAATTGCAAACTGCAATTTGCGTATCTTTTTCTGGTTTATTTCGGAAGAGGCTTTTCCGAGATTTGGCCCATCTACACGGGGCCAAATGTCGGCAAAACCTCCTCTTTCGGAACATTCCTTATTCCTCTTAAAATGAGGGATACAGGGATGCCGAAAGAACGTGTCCACTTTTTCGGAAACTATTCCAACAAAGTGGCTGCGTTCTTTGGATGCGGCAGAGCTTTTCCACTCTACCTCTGCCATGCGGACATAGCCTTACTGACTAGAAGCCACTTCTCAACAAGAGCATGTAATTTACTGTCCGTGCGCACTGGGGCTCAGAGCAGTCTGAGCAGACATGCGTAGAAATACTTCTGGATGGCCAGGGCAGATTTCCACGGTGTGGAACATGCTGTGAATTTTGGCGGCACTGACATCAGATGCTGGGGCCATGCACACAGAGCCCTCATGGCCCTGAGCATTAGAGTAGAGGTGCAGAAAGCCTTGAGTTCCTCCTTTCTCAGCCAGGTAACAAGCTCCAAACCACCATCCGCTGACTTCACTAGGTCGTCTCATTGTGTTTCTGCTCATGAGCTCAGTTTACAGTTTTATAGACAACGCTAATGGTTGCTGGCTTTATATAAAGAGATTGCACGTGAGTTTGCAGTCGTGTTCTTACATTGAACAGAAGTGACTGGCCCTGTTTGAGAACTTAAGCTTCAGACCTGCTACTTTCCAGGCTATGGAACAGCAGGCTTGGTTACAGACCTGGGTTTATAGAACAGACTTTCCCCGCAGCCATTCTCATAATCCCTTGGGAGGCTTTCAGCGGGCTGCAGGCTATGGAAAGGAAGGGAGGAGGCTCAGAACGGACCTGGTCCATTCAAGTCATGCACACGCCCCAACAGTTACTGCTAGTAAATAGCTCTTGGACTCACTGCTCCAAGAGTGTGGCTCTGTGGAGCCAACCAGAGAAGTCCAGTTACAGGGAAGTCGTTTTCCTTCGTTACTTTGTTCCTTTCTGAATCCCTCCGGGTCCAGTTACTGCTTAGTTAGGGCTGAAGATTGGTCTCCCTCCACAGGAAGCTAATGTCCAGTCTCCCATTCTCTCAGCAGACAGCAGAAGTTTGATGCTGTAAAAGCAAATCCTATTTGAAGCGTCAGTCGCACACCTCTCGTGTCTCACATCTTCCACTGCGCCCTGCGTGTCTGATTTCCTTCGAGCTTCAAAACAAACCAAACCTTCTGCTTTGACATTACAGGCTGAAAGGATCCGGGGGAGAAATTTAGCCCCAGGTCAACACACAGAGTTTAGAAGGGTTTTAGAATCTCAACTGTAGAGTCACAGCCAGGACTGCCAGGTACAGGGCCCACTGGAAACTCCTTCTTAGCTCTTCTCTCTGGGGCATCAGTCAGAGGAGTCACGTCTGCCTTGTGACTAATGAAAGTCAGCACTTCTGGAGCTGAGAGAAAAGCTAAAGCCGTCCCTGAGGTTTGAGAGGTGCAGTAGTTACTCAGATTCTCAAGGGTTCATTCAGATACCATTGCATGTAGGGTGAACAGGGAAATACACGCTGCGGATCAGATTCCGCCAGCTCTCCGCGGATCAGGAAGGATGTCGATACATTGCAGAGGGTTCATGAGAATGATTACAGGGTGGAGAAACCTGCCTAATGTCTACACTTCAGGTAGACATCCACGGCTGGCCTGGGCCAGCTAACTCAGGCTCATGGTGCGGGGCTGTTTCCTGGCAGTGTAGATGCCTGGGTTGGGCTCTGGGATCCTCTCACCTCACAGGGTCCTAGAACCCAGGCTCCAGGATGAGCCCGAAAGGCTTCGTAGCAATGAAGCAGCCCAAACCCCATGAGCCCAAGTCAGCTGGCCTGGGCCAGCCAGGGGTGTCTAACTGCAGCATAGACAGACCCATAGCGACCAACTCCCAGAGCTCCGAGAGGGTTTGGGGTGATTCGATCTGTCTGTAAGTACTTACCTGGAGAGCAAATATCTGATAGTGGGCTACTCAGTCCACCAGACAAAGGCGCTGGCTGGAAGTAGGAGGCAGACAAATTCAGACGCAATAGGGCATGCATTCTTCACCCCTGGGTAATTAACCATTGGAATAAGCTTGCTTGTGCACTCCCCAGGGGAACAGAGAGCCTTTGACAGATGCTATTTTAATACAGGGTTCTGCTGAAGAGATTTGTTTCTCTTGGTTATTGCTGGAGCCAGTGAAATGCCCTTTTGTCTCTTTTCAGAGTTTTAAAGGACAACGACTTACGCAAGCTGCAGAAAGATTCTCTCGAGGGCTTGCTGTCGCTGAAGCACGTGTGCGTGTTTCTTTCTAGTGCTGCTCGTGGGCTGCGCTCATAACAGACAAGCTGCTGTTTGTTCCTGAACCCTTTGCTGCGGCTGGCAGGCCCCGGGGGTTATCTTAAAGCAACGATTGGTTGTAAAGCGGGGCCCTGGGGACGTCCCTAGGCTGCCGGGTGTGTAGACGTGCTCCAAGCAGAGACCACGCTGGGTTTTGGCAGCGCCCGCCTTGTTTCACAGGTTCCCTTTCTCTCCTCCATTCCGGTGCATGTGCCCGGGGCGCTCCCTGCACTGCCAAACAGGGCTTTCTACGCCACGGTGTGGGTTCTTAGTGGAGGGCAGCTTTCAGCTCCCTGGAGCCAAGGGCAGCCCCAGCTGGGGAGCACAGACCTCAGCTAGCTGCAGGCAAGGCCAAACCAGCCCCACCAAGCGGGGCCTGTCAGTTGGCAGGAGCGGCAGGAGCGGCCGTTTTGCAGAGAAGACAGACCTGCGGTTGGGGTCCCCCTGCTTCCCAGCGCATCCCGCTGTTTACTCTCGTCCCGGGATGCGGGATGGCGCCCACAGCAAGCAGGCGCGAAGTGGCCCACGGGAAGGGCTGCAGAACCGCGTTTGTGAGGGAATCTCCAGGAGGCACACGCCTGGCGCTCCCCGGGCACGTGGGCGCTCGGAGCTCGGCTGAGGCCTGTCTTACTGGGCGGCCTGAGCCAACGTGTGATCCTTGGTTCACTTGGGGATTCTTCGGCTGTCTTGGCAAATGCTGGATTCACACCCCCACCCCCTTTTCCTTTTTAACCCCCGTAGGAAATGCCACACACAGATCCTTGCTAAAAGCATGAAGGTGGTGGCAGTGCGTTCGCTGCTAGGCCCCTGTAAGCTGCCTATTAAATGCTGTCCAGGGGCTTAGGGAACCAGCCCCGATGGACCTGCTGTGGCCGGGGGAAAGCCGCCTCTCTCCAGCCCAAACCTAGCCCAGCCCCTGACCTGTCACCATCAGGGGAGAGGCATTGGTCCCACGGCCTCATCCCAAGCTGCCATGGTGAGGAGAGCACCTCTCCCCATCAGCCCAGTGCTGCTAGGGAGTCCTCTCTCCCCACCATAGCCCCGGGGCCGCCCCACCCCAGCACCTGCATCCCAGCCAGAGCTCTCACACCCTTGCACCCCGACCTTCAGGCCCCCTCCTGCACTTTGAACCCCTCAGACCCCTCCCCCAGATGAATTGTGTTCTGTGCACTAATGTGGAGGACGTGGAGACATCACTCCGTACTGGTGCGCCTCACCCAATGCATTCCGCACGTGTGGTCGGTGTCAGTAGGAATCTTTCTGTGGCAGGAGGGAGAGGTTCTTTCCTTTCGGGTTCAATCTGCCCAGTGCTGGGTTTTTCTGCATTGTGCAGTCAGAGTGAGCGTGCGTCAGAGCGGTGACATACACAAGGCAGCAAATTCTGCTTTTCTTTTCTCTGTTGGCTCAGACGGCTGCAGCGTTCTCTCCTCCTTGCACCCTTCCTGGCGTACTAGGGAAAGGGCAAAGAGGCAAATGCTTACCCCTCCCTACAAGCTAGTGTGGAGGGCTGCCAGGCTGCCAGGGACCAGAAGAGCTGGCTTAGCCAAGCCCAGAGAGGCCTGCCAGTTAGCAAACAGGAACCGGAGGCACAACAGGCATCTCCGAGGAATGGGGAGGCTAAGCAGGGTTCGAATTGGCTCAGGAACTTAATACTGTTTTGTGTTCAGGGCCTTATGCTGCTGTTCAGTCAGCTTTACATGGGTGTTTTAGCCTGGACAGACCCTTTTCCAAGCCCTGTCCTGGCCACCCTGACTTTTCTGCCCACAAGACATTTGTCCTGTTTGCCTTGGCCAAAGGGATCGGCTGGCAAGCACGAATGGGACAAATGCCCACTTTGGGCACAAAGACAGAGGCACCTGAAAGGGGTGAACAGAGATACCAGTTCTATGGGGGGGGGAGAGCAGGACTCAAGTGGGGGACAGGCAGGGCTCCAGTGAGCAAAGATGCTAGCCCTGTGCACTAGACCTGGAAGGTCGGCTTAAGGTACGGAACCAGCTACGTACAATTCATAGCTGGAATCGGCTTCCTCTTAATCCCACTTTGGTGCCATCCCACATGCTCTGGTCCACTTCCCTGACTCCTCACGGCTGCAAAGAGAACAGCCGCCAGCCGGCCCTCAGCAGTCGATGTTCGACCTGCTAGATCCAAGCCAGCAGAGCGAGCTCCGGCGCGGCGAGTAAAGACGTGCCCAGTGCATGTGGGGCGAACACTGCAGGCCTGACAATTCGTTTCTTCAGATTCTTCAGCAAACCAAACAACAAATGCAGAGTTCAAACCAAGCCCAAACAGTTTGTTTCCTTTTTCAGATCAGCCTTGTTAAAAATCAAACTCAGGTGAAGTGCAGAAGCAACTGTCATTCTGAACCAGAAAAAATGCTTCAGCCAACTCAAATTTGCATTTTTCAGCTGAAAAAGCTTTCGCTCAAGTCTAGTCCTCAAAGGCTTGGTAGGATTGCTGTGAGTCATAGGGCTTATCCGCACTTCTGTGTCCGTGCAAGTGGCTACCAACTCGTAACAACATAGAATCTTTGCCCTTTGTGTCCAGGCAATGAAAGTAAATGTTGCTGTTGTTCAAGTGCAATCCATATTTTTCTAATCTCCATTTGTTCATTTCAACAGGGATTTATCCTGCAACAAAATCCAGTTTATTGAGAAACAAGCGTTTGAGCCACTGCCTTTTCTGCAGTTTATGTAAGTTATAGAAATGGCTTGATAGTGTATTGTACAGTAAGCAGTGTTTACTGACGTCTGTAACGGAGCTAGTGGTAGAATCAATTCTAGTGGCAATACGTGTGACTAACATTCTGCTCCTGGAAGACTGACTGTGCTCTAGCTAGAGAGACGCCTATAGGTGATGTCCACAGAGATTTGGCTGAAGTTGTTTCTTAAAGATTTACTAAACCCTAGAATAGAAAGCGATTAACTGCACCAGTTTTCACTTCCTCTACTTGATGCACTAAACAAGTGCAGAAAGTAGCAGAATTTCCTCACTAATCCACCTGGGATTTGCATACTCCCTGCCCATGAAAATTGCTCACTGCTAAGTTCCTATCCAGCAGGCCAGATTTATTTCTACAATTGTTTCTTTTCCCAGAAACCTTGGTGGGAATCTCATTACCGAGCTTCAGCCCGGGACGTTCCAGGCCTGGCATGGGATGCAGTTTTTGCAGAAGTTGTAAGTGTAACGAAGTTGACAAGTAAATCGGGACATAAAATCGAGACTGTTGGGGATGGATCCTGCCCTGCAGGGTCTCTGGTTCTCCCCACAAGTACACAGGCAGCCCCTAGCAAACCTTCTGGGGTCCAGGCACCACCTCTGCTTGGGACGTTCTTCCCCTGCCGCGTCTGGGGGGGTGGGGGTAGCATGGGGATTTAAAGGCGCCTTGATTCTTTTTTTGATAGGGGCTTTTTTTGGTTTTGGTTTTTTGGGGTTTTTTGCTCAACCAATTCTTTCCCGCCATGTTCGGTATTTTTTGTGAAACTATCTAGCAGCCGTACCACCTAGAGTTGTGCCAGCGCGGGGTGGGAGAGAGGGTTGAGAAGGGTGCTCACAAGCAGATAGACAGGAAAAGTCCCCTCCCTAGGAGCGCCGATGCAGCAGGAGCCCACAGCTCTGGGCTGCAGCGGGAGCATTGATTTCCTAGCCCTCAGAGCCAGGGGCTGGCCAGTCTGAAGCCCAAGACCATGTTGAGCTCGGCCGGTTCCCACCAATGGGTGCAGTGTGGAGTGACTTAATGCTCCGGAG